TGGCCAGCCATAATAACGTTTAAATGAGCAATAATTATGCCAATAATAGTATATTATTCCTAAGTATTTTTTCTATACTTTATCCTGCATTGGGTGCCTTCCAAAACTTACTTACAAAGTCTTTCGACATTTCTTGAAGGCCAAATGAACAGATACATTAATGAGGGTCTATGCAATGACCATCCGCTTGATCCAATAAGGGACAATGAGAGCGGTTCCCCCCTGTAATGGTCATGCCATCGGCCCCACTAGTGTAGCGTTGAATCCACCCGATGAGCCTGCCACCATGCTGGCCAAAACCGTGGCGACAAAGACTCTGCAGAGCCTTGTATAGGTCTTGCACGCATCGGAAACCCAGCGACCATGGAATTAGATTTTACGAGCATCTGTGCCTAATCGGTACATATGCATAGCTTCCTCGGCGCGCAGGGAATGAGAGCTGAACCGGCTGGGGTCTTGGCCAGTGTTAGCTGCAACGCGCTTAATGGCTTCAGATACGTCTTCGTCGATATACAGGCTGGCCGCCCCACAACGGCTGGAATGTTGACCGGGAGGATCTTCCTGGCTTGAAGAAAATTGAGAGCTCCAAACACGGTACACAAGAATTAGTGACCAGGGAGAGATAGCATCCTTGTCGTTGGGGTCCACCTTGGTTTGACTTGGGCCGGGTCAGACGCATCCATAGGGCTTGAGCTTTTGAAGGAAATTGAGTAGGTTATCTAGCGGCATCCACAATCACGATGTCTTGATCTCGTAGCTACGAAGAGGTGGAGTGACACAGGTGCCTTGTGGCGCCAGGGTGAGTCGAGACGTCTTATTCCCTTGAGAAGCATGCGGCTGTGCGGATGTTCAATCGGGGCCTCGCACCCTGAGGCGGCGAATAAATGCCGGACGACTTGAAGCACTGCCGTGATGGAGGCGCTCCGGATGAACCCTCCGGACCCGAAGCCGAACTGGAAGCCATGTAGAACGAAGTACGATATTTGGTGTACCATGGCAGTGAGCGTCATACCATGGAGCCAGGGGGATATTCCTTTGTGCGATGTCAAGCTTCTCCACTTGTTTAAGGCTCGGCCGTATTGGTCGGCAACGGCGTGCGCGTGGAGATGTGATGCCAGATACTGGTCAATCCTTGGATGTCCACCGTCGGGGCCACCTGTGACCACCAGGTATTAGAGAAGCAAACACAGCTGCAACGAAGCATTAGCCGAGATATGGGAGCCGTCGTCTGCACCAGTGTTTTTTGGTCCAGTAATATGTGACGCCGAAAACCAAAGCTGGTATGACGTTTCCCATCAGCTCAGCAGGCGGATAATGACTTGAGCCCTGGGATTACGCGAAGCGAGTTT